ATAAAACCGTTACTCTTAACGACTTCATCAAAACGAATATTCCAACTCCTTGATGCTTGCTTTAGCCCATATATTGACCTTTGAAGTTTGCATACCATATGCTCCTGATCTTTGATTACAAAGCCTTCAGGTTGTGTCATGTACACTTCCTCCTTCAAGAACCCATTCAAGAAGGCAGTCTTGACATCCATTTGCCAAATTTCATAGTCGTGATATGCTGCTATCGCAAGCATGATCCTTATAGATTTGATCATGGGAACTGGTGAGAAAGTTTCATCATAGTCAACTCCTTGTCTTTGACGATATCCTTTCGCCACCAACCTAGCTTTGTAGGTTTGAACGTTGCCATTTGCATCAGTCTTTCTTTTAAAGACCCATTTGTTACCGATAGGAACTATTCCTTGCGGTTTAGGAACCAAGGTCCATACCTTGTTCTGATACATCGAATCCATTTCAGATTCCATGGCTTCAAGCCAACTGGAAGAGTCAACATCCTTGACTGCCTCCTCGTAGTTACTCGGTTCATTATCCTCAACGGTTTGTTGGTTCTCAATCACAAATCCATACCTCTCAGGTGGATGGATGACCCTCGTAGACCTACGGAGTTGTGTGTTTACTTCTCCATCGGAGAACGTCGCCTGCTGAGCAGACTTGGGTTCCTCAATCTGTTCATGTGGTTCTTGAACTTCTTCAAGATCAATCTTACTCCCACTGGCTCCTTGAGAGATCAAATCCTTCTCAAGGAACTCAGCATTCTTGGATACAAACACTTTGTGTTCATCCATAGAGTAAAAGTAGTATCATTTAGTACCTTTAGGATACCCCACAAAAAGACATTTAGTACTCTTAGCACTAAGCTTGTCTGATGCCAATGTCTTGACATAAGCTGGCGATCCCCAAACCCTGAGATAACTCAGGTTGGGTCTCTTACCATTCCATATCTCATATGGTGTGGTCTGAACAGATTTAGACGATACCTTATTTAGAAGGTATGCCGCTGTGTCTAAGGCATATCCCCAAAACAATTTTGGAAGTTGAGTCTCACTCATCATAGACCTAACCATGTCTAACAAGGTCCTGTTTCTCCTTTCGGAGACACCATTTTGGTGTGGTGTGTTAGGAGCAGTAAACTGCGAGAGAATTCCATTCTCTCTTAGATAATCCTGAAACTCATGGCTCAAATATTCACAACCACGATCTGATTGTAATGTCTTAATTATCTTGCCACGCTGTTTCTCTACTTCATTCCTAAACTCTTTGAACTTTTCAAAAGCTTCGGATTTATATCTTATCAGGTACACATACCCAAATCTTGATTTGTCATCTGTAAAGGTAATGAAGTAGGAGTATCCTCCTCTAGCCTCAATAGACATTGGCCCACAAACATCAGTGTGAATGAGTTCTAATAACTCACTAGCCCTATGACTCTCAAGCCCCTTGGGCTTGTGACAAGTCATTTTCCCAGCTAGACAAGACTCACATTGTCCATAGGATTCCAAATCCATGGAATCTAGGTATCCATCTGCATGCATCCTAGACAATCTTGTTTCGTTTATGTGCCCTAGTCACAATGCCAAAGATAAGATTGATTATCTATCCTAGGTCGTTTCACAGCTACATTGAGCACTTTAGTTCCCATTTCCAGAACATACAATCAATTTATTAATGGAGCAGTACCATAAACAATATCATTAAAAATGATAGAAAATGTACCATTCTTAATACTAAAAGTAAAACCATCTTGTTCTAAACAAGAAATAGAAATAATGTTTCTAGAAATGTTTGGAACATAAAGACAATTATTCAAATGCAATAAAAGGCCTGTAGGTAAAATAAGGTCGGCATCTCCAACAGAATGAGCAGCAACCCTTGCTCCATTGCCAACGATAAGATCCACCTCGTTTCTCTCCAATCTCCTTGGTCTCCTAAGCACCTGCAACATATTGCAGATATGAGAACCACAACCGGTATCCAATACCTATGAAGTCGGATTAGCACAAGAATAATTTATCTCAATCATGAAATTACCTGAGGCAGAAGCATCACCATGCTTCTTGTCCTTCACACTCTTCAGGTAGTCTGGACAATTCCTCTTCCAATGGCCTTTCTTGCCACAATGGAAGCACTCAGCATCGCCTTTGTCCTTGGATGCTTTCTTACCCTTCTTGTTGCCCTTCTTCTTCTTGGATTTTCCTTTGGTCTTAAGGGAGTCACCTTTAGCAGGCCCCTTACCCTTACCCTTACCCTTGGCCTTGCTAGGCCCACCAATTAGAAGAGCTTGTGTCCTATCCTTCTTGATAGACACTTCAGCAGTTGTTAACATACTTAACAACTCAGGCAAGCTCACCTGCATCCCATGCATGTGGTAATTCATGATGAATTGACTAAAGGAAGGTGGAAGTGAGGTGAGCACTAAGTCATTACTTAGTTCGACATCCATGATAAAGCCTAGATTTCCTAGCTTCTCAATCAGACCGATCATCTTAAGAACATGACTGCCAACAGACATGCTCTCAGACATCCTGCAACAGAACAATTCTCTTGAGGCCTCATACCTCTCATGCCTGCCTTTAATGTCATACAACTCTTTTAGATGTAAGACAATAGAGGGAGCATCCATATGCTCATGCTGCTTTTGCAGTTCAGGCGACATGGATGCCAACATGTTGCAGACAACCAACACATTGTTATCCATGTGCTGCTTGTAGGCCTCGAAATCATATTCCGCGAACCCATCTTCCCCTTCCTTAGGAGCTACGGGTAATGCAGCATCTAGGACGTAAGCAATCTTTTCAGCCCTTAGAACAATTCTTAGGTTCCGATACCAGTCCATAAAATTTGGACCGGTCAGTTTGTTCGTATCAAGTATTGAGCGCAGTGACAGTGTATTAGTCATACTAATTAACTGAAAATGTAAAGATAAAAATTAATTAATATTTGGACATGTAGTAAAAATAAATTATTAAAGATTTTTAGTAATTTTCCCCTCCCACTATTTTATCTAAGTCAATGACCCTTCCTTTTGACTTAGGGTTATTCTACTTTTAGAATTTACCTTAGTGGGATTAAGAATGAGATTATTTATTTTAACCCCCGTCTGAGACCGCAAGATTAATTTAAATAATGGATTGATCTTTATCAATGGTATCTCATACCCTTTCTTAACATTAGGTTGACAACTCCTTGTCACTTAGTGGTGCATCTCATGCAACCAACCTAGCACTATTACCCTAAGCACATAAGCCCGGCTGGGCCTGCAGCTTATGTCTCAGTTAAGCACTAACCAGCACCCCAAGTGTCTTACACTTCTAATACTACTCTTACTCAACGAAACAGTGGGTCCCAACTGGGTTGTAGAGCACCACTATTTAGAGGAGGTTTGAGTAATATTGGTGGTGGGAGGTAATCATGCGCTTAATAATTTTTTTCCTTTTAAGGGTTCATTTTATTAAGGGTTTATTAAGTCTCATCAAACGCATTAATATATTATCATGCTAGTCGTAACCTATGTCATACATCTAACGGTTTAAACTAGTCGCAATTGGACTTGCATAATAATCATACAAACGCGATTTAGTCCAACTCATGCATACTAGACGTCATAAGCCATAAAGCATACATATCGCGATACTCTATCTCATGCATACATACATGCATTTAAAACAGTTTTATTTTGAGATAGTCATGGTGCTCGCTATTTTGTCCATCTTGCTTCTCAAGTCTCGGCTTCTTGTCGTCTATACGCCACTAGCCTAATTTCTCTAATTACAATTAAAGAAACTCCAAAACATCTTGGAGAGACAAAATTTAAATTACAAAAATTTGAAATTTAAATTACATCTCTTGTAAAAGAGCCCAAAATTACAAATTAATTTAAAATTTAAAAATTTCAAATTCCGGGCACCATGACCATCCCCTTCCTCTTTTGCACCTGAAATGTTAGATAACTGACAAGTACAAAAATGTTATCATATAATATATTTTTCACGTATGTCTTGATATTTAACTATTAAATATTAAAACATAATTAAAATTCTAAATTTTCCTTAATTCTTCAATTGGCCGAATTAAACAACAATTTATTTAATTCAAATTGTATTGATTCTTTCTCAAAGAGCATAAAATTAAACCATGCATGTAGCCATAAATCTCAATATGGTCGAACCATATACAAGAGTATATGATTCAAATTTTCAAAAAATTTCATGCCATGTTTCTGAAACAATTCATGAAGAAAAATAAGAAAACAATCAAGGTGTTCAAAACACTTTTCATGGTCGAACTACACCTTTCAAAAAAGGTGTTTCCTTTTTAAAACTTTCACAAAGTAAAAACAACCATGTATACATATGGATTCATGAACATAGCATTCGAAATAACATGTTCATAAAAACGAAAACTTTAACCGTTTAAAGTATTGTAAATTAAAATCCATACGTAAAAATTGAATCTTTAACTTTTAAAGAAATTTTAACCGTGAAAAATATGATCACAAACAAGGTACCATCACCCGTCTATGGTAAAGCAACCAGGCTCTGATACCACTTGAAAGTTGGAAATGGCCTTAAAGGTCGATGCATGCTGGAGGGAAAACAAAACTTTTTCATTGCGGAACACACATGCATTCAAGATCATGCTTTAGGAAAGCATGATGTTACCTTGTTCGTGAAAACTCGTGATGATCAAGGTAGGTTTGAAGGGTTCAGACCCTCTAACGTTGATCCACACCACCCATTGCGTCTAGGTGCAAGAACTCCTTCTTGTGAAACCGCCAAGTGATCACTACAATGAGGCTTGCTAAGCGCACACTGTGTGAAGAGAAAGGCTAGGTAAAAAAGTGTTTGAAAGAGTGAAGCTTTCAATGTGAAATCTTCACAAAAGTGGCGCAGGAGAGGAGAAGAGAATGGCTTGGTTGGTTTTCTAAAAACCCTTAGAAGGAACATATATAAAGAGGCGCACAAGAGGAGCCTATTTGTTAAAAACAAATCAGAAAACCAACCATGGAGAGGATTCCATATGCATCAGCAATTGGATCCATCATGTATGCCATGCTATGTACAAGACCAGACGTCTCTTATGCTTTGAGCATTACGAGCCGATACCAGTCTGACCTTGGAGAGAGTCACTGGACGACCGTGAAGACAATCCTTAAGTACTTGAGAAGGACTAAGGATTTGTTTCTGGTTTATGGTGGCAGTAATGAGCTGATAGTGAAGGGGTTCACTGATGCAAGCTTCCAGAGTGATAAAGACGACTGTAAATCTCAGTCGGGCTTTATATACACCTTAAATGGTGGAGCAGTTTCTTGGAAGAGTTCCAAGAAAGAGACCACGACAGACTCTACTACTGAGGTAGAATACATAGCGGCTTCAGAAGCGGCTAAAGAGGCAGTCTGGATCAAGAAGTTCGTTGCAGAACTTGGAGTGGTTCCGAGCATTGTTGATCCAATACCTTTGTATTGTGATAACACTGGTGTTATAGCCTAGGGCAAGGAACCCCGGTCTCATCAAAGATCCAAACATGTGCTCCGTAAGTATAACCTCATCCGAGAGATTATTGAAAGAATGGAGATAAAGATGGATTACGTCCCCACTGATGATAATTTGGCCGATTCTCTGATGAAGGGTCTCTCCAAGAGAAAACATGATAATCATTATGAGTCTTTAGGTTTGACACGTCGACCTGATTGGCTCTAGGCCAAGTGGGAGATTGTTAGTATATAGGTGTAATAGAGACAATCTGTTTTATCAGATGAACACGTTTTTCTATTTGGTATATCATGATTAATAAATTTGAGCAAACTTTATCTTTATCATATTTATGTCTCGCCAATATTTTATTGTTAATATGCGTTTAAAGATAAAGACCCTAGGAATAGAGCAGGTGTTCACTCGGGGATCTATGATAGGGATCATGATCATGAGAACTCGAGTCGAGGACACTCAATGTCTATTACCTAAAATCTATTCCTGGTCTTGAATACCAAGAAAGTGTTAGTATATGGATGTCCTAGAGAAAATCTTTTGATTAGATTAGGACATATGTAGACCTTTTATATTGTCACAAATAAAAGCACTATTTATCCTGTTTCATATTTTGTCTCAATATTACTATTAATATTTATATGAGTAACTGGATAAACCCCTTGGAATAAAATAGGTATCTCCTGAGTATCTGTGATGAGATCACGATCATGAGGATTCAAGGATACTGCATGTTTATTCCTAATTTTATGTTCCTAGTCTAGAGACACTGAGAATGGGGATCAGTGATCTCGGGTAAGACTAGCACGACTTATCTACTTGTATTTGGATGCAAGGTAAAGACCTCATGAGCTACAGATATGGAGATGTCTTAGCTAAAGTCGTGGGTGGACCTATAAGGGTATAGCTCGCACTGAACAGACCCACAAAGAGACTCTATGAGGAACTCTCACAGAGAGTATCATTAGAGTAGTCTCTTTATATTTGGGTATGTCTTTCCTAAGACCAGAAGTTATTACCTAGACTGTGTTCTAGAAGGCATGCTTTGACTGTATACCTCGTCTGCCTGAAATATGGAGACTCATAGGTATACTGTTGGGCTTGTCCTGAAAGAGCACAGGGCTAGGGTGATAAGCTGAAGGAATTCGTCAAATCTCTGTGAAAGATTAGGTTATCTGTAAACCGGAGAAATCGGGAAGACATTTACAGGGACTCGGGAATCTATGCATAGTAAAAGAGATCATGAGATGATCTGCCTTTAGAGTCTGTAAATTGAAGATTCCCTATTTCGAATAAAGCTTACCCTAAACCGCAGGGGTTGATACGCTTCCTTACCCTAGGTTTTATGGGAAGGTAACCGAGACGAAAGGAAATATATACGACAACCAAATATGTGTAATAGGATGATCAAGTCATTAATCTAACTAGTTCTGGGGCAACAAAGCATTGCTAGTGCTCTGTGTTGTCATTAGATGGGTTGTGGGCTTATTGGGCCCAAGCCCATTTATGTCAGTGGCTATGTTGGACCTAATGGGTCACACACTAACACCTAATTGTCTAGATGCTCTAGCATTAAAGGTATTGGGCTTAACAATTGTTATTAGCCCAAGAAGTAATTTGGAACTCCACAGATAGGGTGGAGGGCGCATGGATCAAAGTAATGGGCTTGGATAGTCCAAGATATTACTAATTAATTTAATTATTTAAATTAATTATCAAATGTTTAAATTTTGAATTTTGAATTTGAAATTTGAATTTTGAAATTTGAATTTTGAATTTGAATTTTGAAATTCGAATTTTGAAATTTGAAATTTGAAATTTGAAATTTGAATTTTGAATTTGAAATTTGAAATTTGAATTTTGAATTTTGAATTTTGAATTTGAATTTAGAATTTGAATTTGAATTTGAATTTGAATTTAGAATTTGAATTTAAAATTTAAGTGTTTGAAAGTTTAAATTCAAATGTTTGAAATTCGAATTTGAATTGGCTATGAAAAGTTGTTTCATAACAAAAGGATAAGATGAGATATTGTTGGAACATATCAGGAGGAGATCTTTTGGACATAATCCAAGGATAATGGGGTGCTGATTTTGGCTAGATTTGATCATCAAAATCAGCTCCAGAAGATACGGTCTGTTGGGAGAATATTTGAGTGAGTTGATTTAAGTTTGAAATGCAACTAACTCAAATGTATCTGGTCATCTTTTTGGCTATATGGGGCGCACCATATAGCTAATTATATGATGATTCATGATCAGATGACTAGGTTTTGAACTTAGTCTCATGAGAATATTCTGGGATGTTGTTGGCAATTTTTGAAATGCAACAACTCCACTTATTCTCTTCCCAAGGGCGCCACTTTGATCAGATTTTTGGGAGAAAAATCTGATTTGTTTTTGAAACTTAAAAGGCTCCTCTTGTGTGCTTAAGTAGTAGTTAGTTCCTCCTTAGGTTTGTGTGGAAAAGCCAAGCCTTTTTCTACTCATTTATGCGCCCCTTGTGAGGTTTTCTCTTAGAACACTTCACTCTTCTAAACACTTTTATCTAGCCTCCTGCATCACACACTGAGCGCATAACAAGCCTTATTGTGGTGATCAATCAGCGGTCTTACTGGAAGGAGTTCCTGTATCTAGACGCGGGTGGTGTGGATCAACGTTAGAGGGTCTGAACCCTTCAGACCAACCTTGATCATCTTGAGTTTTCACGAACAAGGTATGACATACGTCTTGAAGTATGTATCTTGATATGCATGTGTGTTCCGCTTGCGAAAAAATTTTGTTTTTCCCTCACGCATGTTTCGGCCTTCAAGGCCAATTATACTTTCAGAAAGGGTATTGGTGATCTCAATAAGACTAGTACGACATCATCTACTTGTATCGAGATACAAGGTAAGGACCTCATGGAATGTAGGCATGCTGATGCCTTAGCTGATGTCGTGGGTGGATCTGTTGGAGAACAGATAGCACTGAACTGACCCGCTTAGAGACTCCACAAGGATTCATTATAAAGAGTATCATTGGATTTGAAAAGTCTCTGAACGTTTGGTAGTGCGGATCGTCCTAGACTTTAGGATGTCATCGAATACTATGTCCTAGAGTTATACTTTGACTGTACAACTCTATCCGCCTGAAAAATGGGGAGAACAGTGTACTCTTGGGTATAACTCGAATACATGAGTATAGATGGACATGCCGAAAGGACTCACAATCCCCTATAAGGGATTAGTCGTTCACAAAGACCGGTAGGGCTGAGATGACTTTTAGTTGACTCGGGAATCTATGCATAGTAAGAGATCATGAAGAGTCATGATTTGTCTTAGAGTCAATAGAAGAAGATTCCTAGTTCCTGTGAAATATTATATTTAGTCAATAAAGAGAGATGATACTCTATCCTTGCTCTCGACTAAATGTGAATGACGATGTGAGGGATAATGCTGGCACAGTATCCAAATCAGAAAGGTAGATCACTTGATCAACTCAATTAGTTCTGGGGCTACAGAGCATTGCTAGTGTATCATGTAGTCATTAAATGAATTGGGCCTTTTAAAGGAGTTTAACTGGTTCAAGTTTATTTATGTCAGTAACTAATTGGGCCTAATGGGTCACACACAAAGGTTATTCCTTATTGCAAGTTATAGCAAGTTTGGACCAATAATGAGTTATTGGGCTTTGTCAAGACTATAAGTCAAGTTGGATTTGTCAAGACTATGAGTCAAGTTGGATTGGAGTAGGGACTCCAAGCCCACTTGATCCATACGCCCTTTTGGGGCATTAGTGATGAAAGAGTTTTCTCCACTAATGGGCCCAAATATGATGATAGGCCAAAGAAGCCATGGGGCATGAATCCTAGTAAGTCAAAGAGTTGACTTGACCAAAATAAGGTTTGGGAAAATTTGAAATTTGAATTTTGAAATTTGAATTTTTGAAATTTGAATTTTGAAATTTGAATTTGAATTTGAAATTTGAAATTTGAAATTTGAATTTCGAATTACGAACTTGGATAAGATTGAATTTATATTTGGGTTTAAATTTCAAATTGGAATTTGAAATTTGAATTTGAATTTTAAATTCTATGAGGTTAGGTTGTTGAGAATAATTTAAAATTATTTAAAGGAATAATCCAATAGAGATTGGATGAAGATTCTCTCAACTACTCTTTCATTTGAATTCAGAATTTAAATGAATACCGTCGCAACAAAATTTCTGAGGAAAGGAAAGGTATTAAAGAGGCGCATAATTAAAGGGAGTGAATTAAGGAACGTCCCTCTCATCATTCAATATGTGGGCCTAATTAAAGGTGGCTGATGAGGGGCGCCTAATCAAGGGAGAGAATCAAGGAAAGTCTCTCTCATCCTTTTAATGTGTGCACCTAATTAAAGGGAGCTGATGTGGGGCGCATAATGAGATGGAGAGAATCAAGGAAAGTCTCTCTCTCATCATTTTAACTTGTGCGCCTAATTATAGGAGGGGCTTATGTGGTTGATCAGTTTTTTTATAAAAATCTGATGCATCATCTCTCCTATGGGTGTGTAGAATTCGAAAAAGAAAAAGCTCCAACCTTTCCTTCTCTCTCTCTTGTTACACCATCACCTAACCTCAAGACACCATTATAGTCTTGAGAAAAATAATCCAAACACTTGGTAGCCTACCTTGCATTCGCCTAGCCAGCCACCGAGGATAAGGAGGGATCAAGGAGAAAGAGTTCGCGCTAGCAAGAAGAAGATAACCATGTGGATCACCATTGGAGGGCGTCATCCTTTTGCGCCTACAAGTGAAAAGGTAATTATGAAACCCTATCGTTTCAACGTAAAGCATTCATATATGGGGTGTATAGATGGTCTATGCTTCCGCTGCAAATTTTTTTTGTTTTCCACCCATGTATGCACACTATAGTATGACTATGGTGCAATCTTTCGAACCTTCACCTTTCTGTCTGACCATCAGTCTGTCGGTGATACGCAATGCTCAGCCTAAGCTGAGTGCCAAAAGCCTGCTACAAGGC